CAGCAGGTGCGAGCAGACCGTCCTCAGCAGGTGCTGCACGTCGGGGCCCGAGAGGCCGGTCAGCCGCTGCAGGTCTGGTCCAGATAAGTGCAAAACCTCCTGCGTGGATTTCAGTTTGGCTGAAATTATACAGAATAAGCCACAGGACAAGGTCAGACGACAGCAAGGCAGCAGGGACTCGGGGCGCCGTCTCCAATTCGGGGGGGGTGCCCCGCGGGTAGGGGCCAGACCCATCTGCTCCCCAGCAGTGGCATCCCTGGGCGGAGTGAAGACACAGAACAAGGAAGGAGGGGCCTGGGGCGACCCCCTCAGCTGCAGCAGCCAAGCCAGAAGGGTGGGAGGTGGGGGTTGGGGGTGCAGGGCCTCTTGCCTGTCCTTCCTGCCAGCCAACGGGGGGGGCTGGGCGCCGAGGAAGGTGGGAGATTCCGAGGAATGCAGGGCGTGGGAAAAGGAGGCAACGACCAACTACGACCAACTACTAACGCTGGGGAAAATGAGACGGTCACACCCACCCCCATTCCCGCGAAGGCCGCTATATCCCCCTTCACACCCGAGCGGGCATGGCCCAGTGTGTTCCAACCGGGGGCCGCGGGCGCCAGGAGCTCTGCGAAGCGGCCGCCACAGGCACAGGCAGAGCATGCGCCCGGCGTTCAGAACCCGGGTTACAGGCAGGCTCCCCATGGCGAGTGGCTGCGTCACTGCTTAGACAACGTGCAAGAACTACTTGGATGAAAAGAAACTTCTAAAAAGGGCTTTCAGTCCCACAATGGAAAAGCCCGCTGCACGCATCCCAGCATTCATGCAGGACCCAGAGCGGCCTGCGGTCCAGGGCCGCCCGGGGGAGGGGGTGGCGGGGAGGGACTCGGGCCCGTGGTGCCTGCTTCACAGAAAGTCTGCAGACGTGTCCGCAGTGCGTACACTGTACATGCACGTCAGGAAGTCTACCTTTCTTCGCTGCGGCGATAATTCTGGGATTCAGGTCCAACTGATCCAAATCCATTTCTTCAGGGCGCTGACCACAAAGACGAACAATTTCCCAGGGACACGGATTCTATGCGCTGGCGTCCGTCAGACCGCCCAGCGGCCCTTCGCGACAGGTCAGCCAGCCCCCGGGTTGGAGGCAGCACTCGGCAGGGACCCCACAGGGAAAGGCTACGGCCACACCCGTCGGAGCCGCCATCTGGTAATGGAAGAAACCCCCGATTTCCTGTCACCAGAGCACCCGCTGTCCTGGCCCCGCCCCACCTCCCCGGGCGAGGACCACGCGCAGACCCACGCGCACTGGGCTCACTCAAGTGAAGTGTCTTTTGTATCCTCCGCCTTAATTTCCCTTGAACGCGTTTCCATGGGGAACCTGGAGAGAGCGGGGAAGTGTTTGGGATCTTGCAGGATGCTTGGGGCAGGGTGGGTGTGGAGCCTGCAGGACCACCAGGCTGTCTCAGCGGAGAACAGGGCGGCTGTGCCCCGGCCGGGCCTCCCAGGGCCTGAGCACTAGCCGCACAGGGACAGGAGCCCAGCCCGCTGGCTGCCACTCAGCCAGGGTCACCCTCAAGCCACTGTCTCCTCACGGCCTCCCAAAGCGGCAGGGCGCGGGACACCAGGCCTGCAGCACTGGGGCCAGGGCCAGCGTCGCTGTCCACCAGGAGGCCCGTGCACTGGCTGAGGGGACGGCCACAGTCTAGGGTGCCACGCCCACTGGGACATGGGCTGTTCTCCACACTCCCACATCCGGTCAGGGAGACACAGGTCCGGCAATTTCCCTTGAACGCGTTTCCATGGGGAACCTGGAGAAAGCGGGGAAGTGTTTGGGATCTTGCAGGATGCTCAGGGCAGGGTGGGTGTGGAGCCTGCGGGACCACCAGGCTGTCTCAGCGGAGAACAGGGCGCTGTGCCCCGGCCGGGCCTCCCAGGGCCTGAGCACTAGCCGCACAGGGACAGGAGCCCAGCCCGCTGGCTGCCACTCAGCCAGGGTCACCCTCAAGCCACTGTCTCCTCACGGCCTCCCAAAGCGGCAGGGCGCGGGACACCAGGCCTGCAGCACTGGGGCCAGGGCCAGCGTCGCTGTCCACCAGGAGGCCCGTGCACTGGCTGAGGGGACGGCCACAGTCTAGGGTGCCACGCCCACTGGGACATGGGCTGTTCTCCACACTCCCACATCCGGTCAGGGAGACACAGGTCCGGCGCTGGGGCGGGTCCTCACGCCCAGGACGGGCTGGGCC